ATCTTTTTAATACAAATTTATTATGAAAGTAAGTATTAAATCTAATATCACAAAAACATGTAATAAAAGTGACCATGTGCTTAAAGCAATATTTAAGAGAGTCTTTAAAAATTTATTAATAAAAATATAAATAATAATAATTCAAAAAATATATAATATAAATTATAAAAAGAATATTAATTATCTAAAAGAAATTTTATTATAATTATAAAATTTTATAAAATAAATACTTTTTAAAAGTAAGTATTTCTGATTTGTATTATAATTATTTTAATTAGTTTTAATTATTTTATTATAAAAAAAGTTTATTTATTAAATTTTAAGATATTACTAGAAGTTTAATAATAAAATTAAATAAAATAATATTTTAATTAATTATATTTAGAAATTTTTCAGAAAATATATAATAATATATTTATTTAAAAATATTAATATATATTCTAATTAATATATATATTTATATTAATAATTATTAATTTTTTATTAATTAATATATATTGATAAGTTTAATTATTTTAATTTTTATTAATAATTTATTTATTAATTTATAAATTTATAAATTTATTCCTTTTTCTCTTATTTTTTTTATATTACTATATTTAATTACTTATAAAATTATAAAATTCACAAAGGTTGGCCCTTACAGATGAGTGATTTTATATAGTCAAATCTTCATCGGGATCTTCATCGTCGAAATCATCCCCTTCATCTGGTTCATAATAAATTACTCCAGAACCACTTGAGGCCGAAGGTGTACTTTGACTCTCGTATTGTTCTTTGTATGGAAAAATCATGAAATCACTATAGAATTATTTGCATTTGCTATTTACAATAAGTTCGTGTATAATTTTTATTAATACCTTGTATTTTGGTGTATGGCAGAACAACTTCATTTTTTGCCACCTTTTGCTTTTCCGTTAGACTCAAATTGAAAAGTAAATTCGCGTTTGTAGGATCCGGCTATAAAGTGAATTTATTAAATAAGTAAAATAACGCAACGAATCTCAAAGTGGTAAGATATTGAAATATTTGCCTCATTAGTATCTTGATTCAGACTGCTTTCTTGGTTGGTTACCAACTTTATTATAAATTCTCCTTTCAAATTATCCATAATCTGATAAGAATTAATCTATATTATAAAAAGAATTCGTCAGGTTATCAAAAATTCTAACAATAATAATTATTATTGTTGTAAAAATCAAGAAATCAAGAACCTCATGCAACACTTTTCCCGATCTTTTTTTATGTTCTATCGAGCAGACTGCACTTTCCAACGAATTTATATCTTTTGTTATTATCTCTTCGTCATCAGAAAGAAACGAAAATCCTTGACTAGTTTCCGCGTGAAATCGCTTCGAATTCTTAACGGTTATTATGGTGGTTGCTAAATGTGCTATTGAATTTCGCATGCTTATGTGGGATCTCGATAACGATGGAATATCTGAATGAAATACTGCGACGCATCTGCTATTTTCTGGTTAATTGGGTCATTATTTCATTTAATAATTGTATTTTCTGTGAAAATCTATTAATCAAGGATTCACTTGCCTGATGTCAAGTTGGATAATTTCTTTAAGAGTATAAAGATTGATGGATTCGAATCGGAGGGAAATGGTGCAAGCGAATCTATTATGAGAGTGAATTTCGGGCTCTTTACTTGAATCCAAAGAAAAGGAAAAGATTATTTTCGAAATTATTGATTTTTTTTAATTCATCTAAAGAGAAAAAGAATTATCTACATTTCGTTATAATTTCTTGGATTAAATTGAATATAGCTTGGCAATCGTCAAGTTTTTTGATAAAATGACACGTGTATTGTTTTAAAGGAATCTCTATTTGTTCATCGTCAATCACTTCGTAAGGGTTCGAAAAAGTGTAAGCGTCTATGATGATAAATCTTTACAAAAGAAGAATCGTGTAAGCCATTCGTGTTTGTCAATGATTTAATAATTATATAAACAACACACTTTTCATTTCTTAATGATTGATCTTTTAAAACCCAATCGGGTGAATGCTCTGCACATAATAAAATGGTTGCATGATCACTAAAATATATACAAAAATTTATTAATGATAATGATTTGATTTTTACATTTGATTATTTTACAACTCACTCAATAAAATTTGTGCGTTTAATAAATTCCTTTAATAGCACATAACCAGATTGTATTATTTTATCTTCAATAATTATTAGAGATGATGTTTCTTTAAAGTTTAGCAAACGATCCAAGAGTAATGATGAATTCATGATCTTTTTGTCAAACACAAACTAGTTAATTTTTTAATTATCACTAATGTCATATGATATCTCATTGTTTTCTATTTTGGGGAACGTTGAAACAGAGGTAGTACTATCAAATCACTAAAATTTCACATATTTACATATTTAGGGTTAAATTTGTCAAATGAGGATATTAATTGTCAATGGTCAATGATCAATGTTCAATGATCAATGTAAAATTCTAAGCTATTTACAATTTTTTCGCTTAATCGGGATTGGTCTATTCTTTGATCTTAGTGGAAATATACGTTAAATTTTGAAAAATACGGCTTGTATCAAACGCCGTATAAAAATATATATTCTTAACTCCTTAGTCTCACCGTAATTAAATATTTCATATTTTACGCCTTTCAAAATCACATGATCTACCTTTTTTTTTTCGTATTCATGTTACGCTAGTTTTAATAATCGCGACGTTTCCTTTCCAGATAAATCTAAGGAAAAATTTTTTGTTTTGTAGCATTAATACGGCGTAAAGGGAGAAACCAAATCAAAAGGAAAATAATTGGAGCTATAAATAACAATAATATTAACGTTAATGACATTGATGACAATATCATCATCAGTTTTCATAATAAAAAAAATTCTTCGGAACGCCATTTTTCCCTTTGAAAGGAATTAATGGTGATTGTGCATCCCGGCCGGCAGGGACAAACCGAAATGCACACAAGTCTTTTGTCTGTCAACCACTCTTTCTATATACATAATAGATCTACATGCGTCTGCATAAATAGTTTTCATATAAAATTATTAATAATTGCGCGAAATGGTAGTCAAATAAACAAAATCGGGGATTGAATTGGTCGAAAAAATTACTTGCGCGTCATTATCTACATACATACATATATATATATATATATTATATAGATATAACATTACGTATTGATCATTATGATCATCCCAATATTGGAGCACAAGAATACTTTAAAACAGAGCGAAACCGAACAAGCAAGAGCAATAATAGCGCGCGAGGTAAACAAAAAAATTAGAGTTTCTGCTGCGACAGTCAGAGAAAAATGATAAAGATGTGATTTTCTACTAATATGCATGTAAAGATTTGATTTATAATTATTGTAAACTGAATAACCACTTATTGTTGCCCACACTCTGACTCTTGGTATTATTATTATTGTTATTGTTATTTATAGAAGTTGAAGAACGTAAAGTGAGCGGCAAGCAAGCATTGTGAACAGCATCATGCAGAATTTGCATCAAAGCATTTCTCGTTAGTAATTGAAATAATTAATCAATCAACTAATTATAATAAATATGATGCGTAATTTATAATGTGATGGTCATATTATAACAGATTTATTGTTAGAGAAAATAATAAAGCGTGAAAGAAAAGTGTTTGGTGCTTAAATATGTGTGGTGTTGATAATGGTCCCTTGATGCCATAGAGATTGTTAAACTGATGAATGATTGGGTTGCTAAGAATGCTAAAAAATATCAATTTTGCGTTTGATTCGTTCTACATTTAACCATACGAGTGCTACACTCACACTAATTTTTAGTGCCCTGGCGTTTTTAATTTTGCGTATTCTGATTCTGATCCCTTGCTCCCTGCTTCCGCTTTTTACCCACAGCTGATTATTTATAGATTGCGCTAATTTCACTCATTTTTTTCTTTCAAATACCCCAATAAACAAACCTTTGTCTTTTTTTTTATTTTCTCTATTTCATTACTACTCTACTACATCTCTTACATACACGCTTTCTAAATCTCAAGTCTACCAAGCACGTACTAATTTTTTTTTTACTCTTGCTATCAATACAAACACTAAAATAATTAAACATGAGAGAAATTATCCACTTGCAAACTGGTAAGTTTAATTTTAAAAAATAAACGCGCCTTTCTTGCAAGTATATTCGACTAAACATATTTTTGGTTACGTGTCGTGTATCTTTAATTGCTCTAGGTCAATGCGGTAATCAAGTAAGTGGCGTGACTTATTTTTTTGTATAAAAGACGCGTCATTTTGCCCAATCTATCAATTTATTGACCTTTGCCGTCCTGTACTGTTCAATTTTTAGATTGGACAAAAGTTCTGGGAGGCCATCTCTGCAGAACATGGTCTTGATCCTAGTGGTGCCTATGTTGGTGACAGCGACTTGCAACTAGAACGTATCAATGTCTATTATACCGAAGCTATGGGAGGAAAATATGTACCTAGGTAAGATGTGTTATTGAATAAATATTTTTCATACGTGGTTAATAAACCTTAGTTTCATAAAAGGAGATGATTCTAATCAATCATTTTTTCAAATATTTAGAGCTCTCCTAATAGATCTTGAACCAGTCACAATGGACTCGATCCGAGCTAGCCCATATGGAGGCCTCTTCAGACCCGATAACTTTGTATTTGGGCAATCTGGAGCAGGCAACAATTGGGCCAAAGGATACTACACTGAAGGTGCTGAATTGGTCGATTCTATCTTGGATGTTCTACGAAAAGAATCCGAGGCCGCAGATTGCCTTCAAGGCTTCCAAGTGACACATTCACTAGGAGGTGGTACTGGCTCTGGACTTGGTTCGTTGCTATTATCTAAAATTCGTGAAGAATACCCGGATCGTATGTTATGTACCTTCTCGGTTGTTCCATCGCCCAAAGTGTCGGATACCGTCGTCGAACCATACAATGCTGTGCTTTCTGTTCACCAACTGGTAGAGAACAGTGATGAAACTTTCTGTATTGATAACGAAGCTTTATATGATATTTGCTTCCGCACATTAAAATTGACAAATCCTACTTATGGTGATCTTAATCATTTGGTTTCTGCCGTCATGAGTGGAATAACCACATGTCTACGATTCCCTGGTCAACTTAATAGTGACTTGAGAAAATTGGCTGTTAATATGGGTTAGTATTTTATCATTTGGATAAAAATTTGATACGCGTCTTTTTTTTCAAAAGTTTTTAATAGCTCTTGAAATCAATTAGTTCCCTTCCCACGTCTGCATTTCTTCATGGTCGGATTCGCACCTCTAACTGCGCGTGGATCGCAATCTTTCCGAGCCCTCACAGTTCCAGAATTGACCACACAAATGTTCGATGCACGTAATATGATGGCAGCCTCCGATCCGCGCCACGGCCGATATCTAACAGTTGCTACGATTTTCCGTGGTAAACTTTCCACCAAAGAAGTTGAACAACAAATGCACAACGTACAAATGAAAAATTCGTCATACTTTGTCGAATGGATCCCTTCAAATGTAAAGACAGCCGTGTGTGATATCCCCCCGATTGGCCTCAAGATGTCTGGCACCTTTGTCGGCAACAGTACATCCATTCAAGAACTCTTCAAACGTATCAATACCCAATTCGTAGCAATGTTTAGACGAAAGGCTTTCTTACATTGGTATACAGGTGAAGGTATGGACGAGATGGAATTTACTGAAGCAGAGTCAAATATGAACGATCTTGTGTCAGAATATCAACAATATCAGGACGCAGCTGGTAATTATTGTTTATTTTATTTAGTATTTTTTAGATGTATTTTTGTATTAATCAAAAATTTCTTTACTACTTTAAAGCTGAAGATGAAGGTGGCGAATACGAAGAGAACGAAGAAGAATATCAAGAAGGCGAGGAGTGAATAAAGTATTAAAACTATTTTCGTATCTTATTCTACTCTATCTCTTATTATAATAATTATCTTTATTACAAGTTAGATTAATATTATCTTTTAAAAAAAACATCATAGTTTTATTTGCATTGTAAAATAACATTTTTTTCATACTTCCCTTATTTTAGCTTATTTCGCACTTCGTTCATTTTTTAATAATTATATATAATATACAAGTTTTATATTGCTTTGGCGAAAGAAAATCTGAAAATATAAATGTGAAGTTATAAACTTTATTAACTAACACATTCACAATTATTATCTAACACGCAAACAATTAATCCATGAACATTATCTTCTATCTTTCAATCTTTGTTTTCACTTTATCATTTCATCCCGAGAATTTTTTTTGACCTTTTTCAACTGAAAAAACTGCCTAGCATAGGAGGTTTGCTTTTAGTCTACTATTACTAATAAATAAAACGAGAAGAAATGATTATAGAGTTCTAGTGGAAAAATTATTGTTTTGAAGTGGTTAAATCGAAAGTTTATTTGATGATTCGTAAATAACGAGAAATATATTACAATCAAAATATTTTACTTCTCTTGATCACAGTGATATTTAATCCATTAGATTATTCATCAACCCATATTATTAATATACTAATTTTTCTTTTTCCCACCATTTTGCTGTCGCCGTTTTATTAATTCTTTCGCATCAGCGTCATCAATTTTTACAATGCTAAATTGTTTGCCACCACCAACAGAAGCAGCACGTATCGCCATTTTCGTCTCAATATCCTTATTGATTGCTGTGGTCAATTTCTTACGAATAGCCTCTTGTTTTATTTTCCCTTGTTTTTTTGGTGCTATTACACGTGCACCTTTCTTTGGACCGATGTTTTTTGTGCGGGTCTTTTTTTTTGTGATGGGCAACGACGAGGAAGAGTTTTTTTTTAATAATAAACCTTGTGCCATTTTGAATTTATAAAGTGCAAAAAAATTTTTATAATTAACTATTATAAAGAAAAATTTTTTTATTTTAATACAAAAATAAAAAAAATTTATTTCGATTTTTTTACTGTAAATCATTGCCCAGTAAAAAATTTTTATAATTAAACTATATAAGAAAATTTTTTTTATTTTAATACTGTACAAAAATAAAAAAAATTTATATGTAAATCATTGTCGATTGCAAACTTTTGTCACATGAGTGTAGATCATTAAATATTTTTGAAATATTTTAGCTATTATTGATAAAACAGTAAATCTTCATTCGAATAATGGCTGAAATCTCAAGTAAAATTGAATTGCAACTCCAAGGACGAGATGAAATTGTAGAGATTGATTGTGAGAATGTCGAAGACGCTAGTGAAATTTGTGGGTTTTTAGCAAACGAGCCCGTGGCCTATAAACAATACTTGCCCTTTGCTGTGAGCGACTTATTTGGTTTTCCTTTTGCGAACTATCTTTTCATTGCAACCAAATTTTCCAGCACTTTCTAATTGTTAATATAATCGAAATTTTACTCTTTCACAAAGCTATACTTCAACATAAAAAAAAATAAACCTGATGATGCAATTACATTACTAGAACAAGGCTTAAGATCTGGTATTTGCAATACTGTGACTTTTTTGGTGTTCGTTGCGATAATCGTCAAGTTATTCTTTGAAAGGAAGTGGAACTCCACAGAGCCGACTTCCGCTAGTGAATCTTCTCGCGAGTTTATATATTAAGAAAGCAAAGGAACTACATAGCTCGATGCGTGATGAAAAACAAAGATATTTGGAATTGGCTACTTCTAAATACAATGAAGCTTCACATATAAATTCACGAGAGCCAGTGACTTGGGTTGGGAAAGGTATCATCAGAAAGTTATTTGTATTTGTTGCACTATGTGCTATCTTTTCAGAAATTCAAAATACTTTGCCACAATATAGGACTACTTTATTTAGCGAGAAACGACGCAGATCTGGCATATCGTGCATTCGCAAATGCGCTTGATGTTGCCCCAAACAATATACCTGCGTTGTTTGGAAAAGTTAGCTAGCTTTTTATGTGTGTCCCTCGATTTTGGTTACTTTTCGACTTTTGTGTTAAAAAAAAATGGAATGATTCATTTTAGGCTCGTGTGCAATATCATCGAAGAAATTTCGAGAGTGCCCTCGAGACATACCAAACTATTCTCCGCTTGAATCCTAAATGTAAACCAGACCCTCGAATCGGAATCGGTCTTTGTTTCAATAAATTGAATCTAGCTGATCATGCTTATAGAGCATTCCTGAGAGCTTTAGAAGTAGTGAGTTAGCTAAAGTATTTTTTTTTTGATTGGAGGATTTATATGGATTTCTCGGTTATACATGTGCTTTAATAAACTGTTTTTATGATGACTGATAGGATCCTAATAACGTAGCAGCCAATATACTTGTAGCACAGATAGAATTGAATAGGATGAAGGACGCTAATTTTACAAAGGAAGAGAAAGACTCTCTGCTTGCTCAAGCTACAAGACGCATAGTTCATGCTCATCATCTTGACCCAAAGCACCCGACTGCTTTAAACCTGTTAGCCAATTGTTTGTTCTACACACAACGGGTTGATCAAGTAGATCAAGACGCTGAAGAATATACAACGGTATTTAAGTCTTTATGTGCAGATTCTTATTAATTATGATATTAATATTAAATAACCCAGTTATGATTTATCTTGATAGTTGCTTGATGTAACACGGCGAGCAGAGATTTATAGTGATACCAAACCAATACTTTCCGAGTCTCATTATCAGCAGGGTCGTGTACATCATCTTATGGTAGTAATCCTTTTGTTTTTCTTTGATTGTATTTGCGATAATTAATTGCTTATGGTCATGATATAGCAAAATTGGGACGAGGCTTTATACCATTATAGTGAAGCCACACGAACCTATGAAGAACACCATCCTGCGCAATTCGGCTTGAGTCAAGTATACATAAGAAAAGGTATGCGGGTCAGAAATAATCACGAATTGTAAATTTGATTCACAAGACTTCTTATTCTCCATTAATAATAGGACAAATCAAGCTGGCAAAACCGAAATTATACAGCTTATTAAATAAATATCCCGGAAATGTGGACATTCTTACGGTATTTTTTTTCTTTCCTTTTTTTGATATTACGCCTTTTTTCCAAAATGTATAATCACATAATTCTGACTTTGACGTTTAATAAAAAAATAGGTTCTTGCTATGGTACAAGCACACTTGTTCAATACTGCCGATAATCCACATGAAAAGGAAGAGGCGAGAAAAGAATTTGACAAATTGACAAAAATGATCAAGGATGACAAGTTTGACGATCCACAAATTTTCACTATTAAAGGACAATTATTAGAAGAAGAAAATTGGCACAAAGGGTTATCAGGTATAATTTTTAACATTCTTGGAGCTTTTTTCTCCTGGCACTTTTTTTAAGTAATGCTTATATATTATTTTTATTTAAAAGCGTATAAACGCGCCGTGGAATTGTATATTGATAAGGGCGAGATAGTGCCTCCGCAATTGTTAAACAACATAGGAGTCAATTACTTCCGCCAACGTAAGTCTCTAAGACATATCACACTTTTTGCAAAGTTGTTTTCGAAAAATTTTAATCCCTCAGCCTCGTTTTTCTTTATTAGCCGATATCGAGAATCATTATGAGTCTGCGTTGGATTATTTTCGGCGGGCTCTAGAGAACGCAAACCTAACAAAAGAATTAGGCGCAGCTTTAACTATCAAATATAACATTGCTCGGACTAACGAATATCTTGGAAGGACAGAAGAGGCCCTTCAAGAATATTATAGTTTAGCTACAGATCATCCTGCGCATGTTGATGGTATATTTAAATTATTTGTTTATTTTATAACTTCTTTAAACGGAGCTAATGTTTGTTTGATATAAACTCAGCTCATCTTCGTATTGCCGCCATATACGAGGACAACAGAGAGTGGGAAAAAGCAGAAGACATATATAACGCTATCTTAAAATTCGACGAATCAAATGTAACGGTCAGAGCAGCTTTTGGACGTCATTTCTATAAACAAGGAAACCTACGAGAAATGCGCTCACAATTCGAAAGAGTCCTCTCAAAATTTGATCGACATCATATATTCTCATTGCTTTCCTTGGGTAGTTATTGGTTAGGCACAGCTCGCGAGATTAAAGATAATAAAGACGAAAAGAAACGCCGATACAAGAAAGCTCACGAGTTCTTTACGAAAGCTTTGCAGCTTGAAGAGAGAAGCATTTGGGCAGCTAATGGGATAGCAGTGTTTGCTGCTGAATCTGGATGGTTGCAACAGGCTAAAGAAGCATTTTATCATGTGATTATCTTTTGGTGGTTGTTAAATTTCGGTATTTTTCTATTATAGTATTTTGATCCATGGTTTATGTTAGAATTGATTATTATCTAGATACGACAAGAAGCTTATAAAGGAGTGCCCGACATTACCATCAATTTGGCACATGTGTTGGTGGAACTAGGAGAATACGATGCGGCCATCAAAGAGGTGAGTACTGATATAATATTCGGTATGTGATAGATTCTCTTTTGATAACCGTGTTTAACATTTTAGTATGAAAGCGTGAGAAAACTGACTCGGGGGGAAGATGTTCAATTATTGCTTTGGCTCGCAAGAGCTTATTATATCGCGGGAAAAGTTACAAAAAGTATCAAACACATGCAAGACGCTTTAGCATGCTGTCAAAGGGTGATTAGATACTTATATTTATTAATTAATCTATTAAACTTTTGTGATTTTAATGATTTTCGGTCTTTTATATTTCCTTAGGCATATCTAGCTAAACCGAACGGCGATAGTTTAATAACATATAATATCGGAATATGTCAACAGTCGCTAGCTCAGCTAATAAGCGAACAAGAAACCGGTGAAAGGTCTTCCGTCATGTTAGAATATCAGTCAAACGATGTAGAATGCAGTCGAAGGTATTCTTCTACTCATTTTATTGGTTTATTCATATTTTCGATTTATTAATATGCCTAATTTCAATCTTTAGGTTATTTGAAAGATGTATCAAATTATCTGAAGAAGTAAAGAATAAACCCGGAAACCGAGAAAAAATCTATTATAATGTCGAGACAGCCCATCAACGTGTGAAGTTTGCTGATTCGGTAATAGGAATGTTGGGCAAGAAGATAAAGGAGCAAAAAGCCCTTGAAGAAAAATATGAACATAAGCGTGCTATTTTGTTAGCCGACAAAGAAGAAAAAGAAAGATTAAGAAAAGAGAAAGCTTTTAAAAAATTATAATTTTATTAGTAATCTTTAAATTTTGCCATGTAAATTAATAAAAAAACTTGATTAACGTTTTGATTATTTAAATTCGAGATCACTCCATAATTCGTTATTACTTGATTCTCACTTTTGGCGTTAGTTTGGTTTTCGATAGGTAAGTACGCGTTTATTATCAATTCTAGTTTCAAATAACTTTAGAATCTACTTAACATGATATAGAAAAGTATGAGTTTATATTTTAATTTTCAATTATGACGACTATGGCAATTATATTTTTAATAACTAAATTTCAAAAGATCATAAAACGAATAATCTAATAAACATTCTATTTGAAAACAGTAATAATTCGATTCTTTTTAACTGAATTGACGCATCCACATTTTAGTTCCAAAAATAAATTCTTTTTAAAAAACGAAAATTCCTTCGTAACCTCTTTCGTTCCATTCTTGCTTACCTTCTGACCAAATACATCCACACAAAAATCATCCGTGAACAATTTGCATAAATTGAAAAAAACGCGCTTACTGTTTATTCTTTCGAATGATGATGTTTTTAATTATGGGTCAGTGCAAAAAGATTTGTACCTCAATATCAATAATTGCTTCTAATAAAAATCATTCAATTTAAAATATAGTGAAATAATTAATTTTAGATTCACACAAAAAATAAGTCAAAAGCAGACAAGAGATTATTATAATTAAAAACTTAATCTTTATTATGATAATTATTATTAAAATTATAAAACAGATATAGTATCTTTAAATAATAAATTATAATTACATAAAATTAATAATAATAAATAAGAAATTAATAATACATAATATTTATATAATAGTATCTCTAGAAGATATTTATTAATGTATAAATATAAAAAATAAATAATTATAAATAATAAAAAGAAAAAGATAATATACTAATTATATTAGTAAAACAAGAAAGAAAAGAAATTCTACTAAGAAACTTTTTATAGCTAAAATAACTTAATTATACCATGTAACTTTTCTTGATAAAATAAGGTAACTGTAATGCAGTAAGTTATATATGATATAGTAAAAATTTACAAGATAAAGTATAATTTTGTTATATAATTTCTTTCTTAAGAATTAATATTTTATTAATAATTTGATTTAAAAAATTTAATAAATTTTATTATATTACAAAAATTTTTTAAAGATTTTTATATAAAATTATAAAGAAAATAATCTAGTTATTTAACTAAATATTATAATTTATTCTGAATAATTCTTTTATTTAGAATAGCTTTAACTTTATATTTTTCTTCTTTAATTTTAAATATAAGAATTAATTATGATAGTATTAAACAAATAAATTCTTAGAATTATATAATTTTAATAATAAAATATGAAAAATAGGATGAAGTTTCATATATGATAATAGATCTAATTTATATGACAAATAAAATTATTTTAAGAATAGAAAAAAATTCAATATATTTAGATATAAGCTTTTTATTAAAATATTACTTATTTATAAGATTAATAATATTATAAGTTAAAAGTAAGACTTGATCTCTAATTTTAAATTTTTGATAATAATAATATTAATTAGTATATTTAAATTAATAATTTTGAATTTTCATTAATAAATCTTTTTATATTTTTAATTATATTATTTTAATATTGAATAAATTCACAAGTAATAATTTTATTATCTGAAATAAGTATTAAAAATTTAATTGAATATTAATCATAATCTAATTCAAAAGATATATAAATAAAAGAAGCTTATACAAAATAATTATATATAAATTCAATAGCAATAAGATATTTATTCTAGTGATCTTGATTATAAATTAAATATATTCATAATATTTCTTTTAAAGTATAATTTATTCTCTTAGTTTATTTATTTATTTATGAATAAAATACAGTTAATATAACTAATTTAGTACTAATTTATTTAAAAGAAATTTCTAGAAATGATTAATAAATTTAGTATCACAATCTGAAATTATAATACAAGATAATCTATATAACTTAAAGATATTATTAAAGAAAAATTTAATAACTTTAGATATAGTAATAATAGTATATGTAAAAATAAAATAAGTATATTTAGTAAGATAATTAAAATTATATTATAATCTTGATAAATAATTGATAATTATATAATAAAATTTATTTTAATATTATTTAGATATTTTTAAAGATTATTACTTTTATTTTTTTAATATTCTTTATAATTAAAAATATATTTATAAATATTTTTGATTAGTAATAATATTATTATAATTACTTATATATTTTATTAATTTTTAGATGATTAAAGATAAAAATATCATGATATTCTTCTAAGATTTGTATTTTCAAAGATTTATCTTTAGAAATAGCAAGTTATTTTATATTTTTTAAATAAATTTTATTATTTTTTAACTTAAAATGATATATTCTTAATTATTATTTTAATATGATTAATTCAAAATTATGTAAAATTATTCAGATTTTCATAAAATATCTATTATTTTTATATTTTTATTATAATTTTTTTTTATTAATTAGCTATATAAAAATTATAATAATATTATTTACTTAAAATAGATGAGATAATATATTAGCAATAATATTTTTTTTATCCAGTTTATATTTAATAATAAAATCATTAGCTTACAAAGTTTTTAGTTAATAAGCTTGATATTTAAAAAGATTATACTAGATCTTAATATATTTAAGTAATATATGATTAATAATAATGATGAAATATTATTCTTTCAAATATAATTTTTAAAGATAAATAGCATATATAATAATAAGAAGTTTTTTTATATATAAAATAATTTTACTTAGTAGATAATAATTTAATTGACTTATAAATAATAAATTGATCTTTTTTTTCATAATTTTAATTAAGAATAACTCTTATAGTAAATTTAGATATATTAATTATCATAGTAAAGAATAATTTAGAATCTGACAGAATTAAAATAGATATAATAATTAAATACTATTTCATATTATTAAATATTTTCTATTCAGATTTATTTTAAATATACTCATAATCTTTGTAAAGTAAAGTTATAAGTAATAAGATAATTACAAAAAAGTTTTTAATAAACTTTTGATAATAGCTAGTAAAATCTAAAAATAACTGAAGTTCTAAAATATTAGTTAGCTTAAATCAGTTATATATAATAATAATTTTGTATTAATTTATTAAAATTTCTTAATTCAAAATAAGTATTTAATATATTATTTTATGAGCTTATATTTCTTTAGTTTGATATAAAGTTTATATTTATAAAGTTTAGAAAGAAATATAAAAATATTTAAGATATTCTTCTTTAGTATTATTAAATATGAGAATGTTATTAATATAGATTATGATAAATTTATTTAGATAATTATAGAAAATATTATTTATAAGAGTTATAAAAGTGATAGATGTATTTGTAAAATCAAATAGCAAAATAAGAAATTTATAATGATTATATCTTGTTCTAAATATTATTTTATAAATATTATCTTCTTTAAATTAAATTTAATAATAATCAAAATAGAGATTTAATTTAGAAAAATATTATATTCTAGCTAAATAATCTATTAATTTATTTATATAAAATAAAGAATTGTGATTTTTAATTATAATTTTATTTAATGCATGATAATTTACATAGAGTTAAAGAGTTTCTTTCTTTTTATATATGAATAAAATAGATATTTCAAATAGTAAGAGACTTAAATAAAATTTTTATCAAGTAAATTAGATAATTATTTCTTTAATTTATTCATTTTAATATAAGATAAATAATAAGTAAATAAAATGATAGTTCAGATTTAGATATCAAATTAATAGAATAATCTATAACATATTTTAATAATAATTTATCAGAAAGAAAGTTAAAAAATATATCAATAAATTCTTTAATTAATTAGATAACTTTATAAAAAATTAATACTTTTTGATATATTTCTTTTATTATAGTATAAATTATAAATAACTTAATATTAGATGAAAGTTTAATAAATTATTAATAAGAGATATAAAATAAATTGCAACTAAATATAAGTTTATCTTTACTAGTATTAACTTTAATTATTTTATTATTATAATTAAATATTATAAAATTATTATATTAGTTAATTATAAAATTAATATAATAAGTTATAATTTATTTATTAAGTATAAGATTATAATATTAAATATATAATAAGTATTTAACTTTAATTCTTTGATAATTATAGATGAATTAACTTTCTTTTTATAATTATTAGTAAGTTTTATAATAATAGAATTTATGATATATATTTATAATTAATTATTTTAAATATATACTTTATCAATAAAGTTTTATAATACTCTATTATTAAGCAGAATTCAAGCAAATTTTTCATTTATATAACTATTGAATTTTAAAAGTTTCTTATAATTATTCTTAAGATAAGTAAATTTAATATTATTATTTTGTGTGATAATATTACTATTATTATTTTTAATATGATTTACTTTAATCTTTTTTTTAAAATAATAATCTTTAACAAAATAATTTAATTTACTACAGTTATAATAATTATAATAATTATAATTATTATTATTTTTATTATAATTATAATTATTATTATTATTATTATAAGATTAATATTATTATATATATTATTATTATAAGAAAAAGATTTTTAATTTCTTTTATATTTTTGATTATAAATATTATTATTACTTTTAAGAGGATAACTAATATTAAATATAATTATATCATAATAAATTATAAGTTTTCAGATAATATTAAAAGTTTTTAATACTTAATATATTATTTTTATTTTAATTATAGACTTGAGATTATTGATAAAATATATAACTTGATCTAATTCTCCTATATCTTTTATTTGATTAATAAAATTTCTAAATTTAGTTCTATATTTCTATATAATACTAATTTAATAAAGTTAATAGAGTTGATAATAAAAATATTATTGATAGTTAAATAATTGAAATATATTAGAAACTTTAGTAAGAAAGATTTGTTAATTTGTA